CTGATCAATGACTCTCTCTCATCATTGATGTTTCTATCTCCCTCTCCCTAAAATCAATAAAAATATGAAAAATAAATGTAACTATAAAAGGCTTAGTATCAACCGAGCAATTTCACTCTTGGGCATGTTTCCCATTGAATTTAAAAAATTACATTTATTCAGAATATTCCACATGAGTATTCATCGCAGATCNATTCAGAATATTCCACATGAGTATTCATCGCAGATCTATTCATAATAGTTAAAAATTGGCAGCCAGCCAAATGTCCTTCAGTGGGTGAATAATTAAATTTTGATACATCCACACAAAGAAATACTAATTATCAACTTAAAAAAAATGAAGTACTCACATATGCAACAACTTACATTCAGTTCATGAAATTTATGCAAGAGAAAAAGCCAATCTTTAAGAGACACAAACTGTATGAATGTATTTATATAACATTCTCTAAATAACGTACTTAGGGAGACAGAGAAGTCTAATGGTTGCCAAGAGTTAGGAAGGGGAGAGAAAAAGGTCAGTGTAGCTATAAAAAGGAATAATACTAGTTTAGTGATGATACTAAACTACAGTTCTGCATCTTCATTGTGGTGGTGACTACACCAATTTGAAAGTGTTTCCATTGATGAAGGCTGACTAAAGGGTACACGGAACTTCCTCCTACCTTTCTTTGCAATTTACTGTGAATCTGTCATTATTTTAACTTAAATTTAAGTAAAAGCCCAATTAGACATCATTACACATCTAAAACTGGAAAAACAAAATTGAACAAAACAACAATAACATCCACAACATCAAGTGTTTATGAAGGGCATATATCTATGCAGAAAAACTGTATCTCTCATTAATGAATGGGGGGAAGGAAAAATGGTACAGCCAGTTTTGAATATAGCTTGGCTGTTTCTTATAAAATTAACAGTCCACGCACTAAAAAAAAAAAAAAAATACACTTAGTAAATGACCCAGCAATCTCACTACTAGGTGTTTACCCATCAAAAAGTGAGAATATATGTATATTCTATACATATATGTATATTCTATAAGTATATTACATAAATTATATTAAATCCTACATGCACATTTATATCAGCTTTATTCTTAATTGCCAAAATCTTGAAAAAACACAAATAACCTTTAATGGGTGAGTCTATAAGCAAACTAGAGGACATCTTTTCAATACAAGGCAGGTTAAAAATAAAAATAAATGAACTATTTAAACATATGACAACAGGAATGAATCTCAAATGCATATGACATTCTGGAAAAGAGAAATCTCTAGGGACAGAGAACAGGTCATTGTTTCCTAGGAATTAACACTAGGGGACCACTGCAAAGGGAAAGCCAGAGGGAGGATTTGAACTGATAGGTCTATTGTGTATCATGTGACAATTGATGGGAACAAAAGTCTGTTCATTTTTCCTATATCCATAGAATTGAATACCACAAATCTTAATGTGTATACATTTTTTTAAAAGCCAAATATGTTTAATAAAAAATAAATATTGAAAAAGAGAAAATGGCTAAGACATTTTTCAAAATTTCCAAGAATACATCAACCTACAGATTCAAGAATCTCAGCCAACCCAAACAGGATAAATTCAAAGAAAAACACATCTTGGTCAATCATGGTGAAACTGTAGAAAATGAAATATAGAAAATAAATCCGAAACTCAGACAAAGAATAAAAGAATAATTATATTATTGAAATGTATAATAAGAATGACAGCTGTATTCTCATCAGAAAATGGAAGCCAGGATACAATGTGATTACATCTTTGAACTGCTGAGAGTAACAATTCCTAACTTAGAAATCTACTTCCAATGAAAATACCCTTCATGAATTTAGACATTCTAAAAACATTTTAAAGACAAACAAAGGCTGAAATTTAAAAAATAAATAAATAAAGACAAACAAAGGCTGAAACATATGGTCACTGCAAGATAAATACAAAAAAGAGAAATACAAAAGGAAGTTTTTCAAGCTGAAAGGAAATGACCCATATGGAAATTTGAATTTGCTGGAAGAGTTGAAAAGCCCTAAAAAACAGTAAATATGTGGGCAAATGTAAATATTTATATTTAAAAATCTTTAACATTCTATTAGCTACCTAAGGCAAATAATAATGCATCGTCAGTTTTATAACATAATATATAAATGAAATATAAAACAAAAGTGCCGATGATTGCAAGATATTAATGGAATGAAACTCTTATGAGATTTATACATTGTGAGGTTTAGAAAAACCAAATACACTACATTTACTCATGAATGTTCACCAAATAAATGGAAAAGTGTTTTATACCATCTACTCTCCATGTGCTATGGGTGTGAAAGATTTGAGCATTTTTACCTTTCTACATACAGAATGGTTAACTTAAAAATGCAACTTAGTTATGAACTAGCACATCATAATAGTTAAGATCCTTGGAATATAAACTATATAACAAAACTATCCCCTATTCTATAATTTAATAACACCAATCAAGAAAACTCTGCCATATAAATAGAAATGTTTGGGTAACCGTGGTTAAAATTAAGGAGACACCTATTAAAATGTTCACGTCTAGATGTGAATTAAAAGTGTATATAAAATTTTTATTGACAGTATCATTTAGAGTAGAGCTGCACTGTGTAACAGAGTAGCCACAAATGGCTATTTAAGTTTAAATTAAATAAAGTAAAATAAAATGGAAATTTTAGTTCCTTAGTTGCACTTTCCACATGCTAGGTGCTCAACAGCCACATCAACAGTGGAGATGTAGAACATTTCTGTAAGTGCAGAAAGTTCTGTTGGAACACACCGATCAAGATACTAACCTTCGTATAAAAGCCAAAACCCATCATCAATACTTCCTCCTGGTGATGATGGTATTAACTCACAAGATGGAGGAGTAAATCCAGCGTCACAATGACAATGGTTGTTAGTGTTGCAAACCTAAAACCAAAACCAAATGAAAAATAACAATATTATACAATAAAAATTAAATGCATTATTTGTCATTGTTAGTCAGTGTACATTATTAAATATTATAATTTAGTATATTACATAGTGTTTATTTTAATGTGCAAATAATTCTAAAATAAAGTTTAATAAAGTAAATGTCCATGCAGCATCTTTTTAAATGTCACAGAGATTTTCTATTATTTGTCTCTTGTGTTTTTAAATAAAAGTAGGTAACATATTGGATACAACTGAAATATCTTATCCTAGAAGGGCATAACATTATGAGGCTAGATGTTATAAAATTGTGGGAGTTTAAATTTATTGTGAATTGTGGTGGATAAAAAAATAGTTAAGAGAAGAGCCAACCTTTAGCAAAAAAAATATGGGAGTAAAAAAACTAAAGGAAGAACTTGCTTAAACAGACATAAATAGCAAAAAATTATTTTGCTAGAAAATATCTATAAATGTGAGCTGGTGAAGGAATTGAAAGAAGGGTCAGAAGCAGACTAGAGAATCTAGAAGTAGGGTCATGCAAAAATTGAAATAAAATTAAATAAAGAAGAGAAGAATCAGAAAATAAACTGTAAATAATAGGACATTTAAGTTATCTGGGAGAAAATTTTGAATCAAGACACACAGACACGCTCTTTCCTGGGTTACTGTAGTATAATATATGAAGCATCAATATGGTGGAAGACACTAGTCACACATGTAAAGCCAAAGGCATGCTTGGAAACCTTCCAAAGTTTTCAAAATTTCTATAACCTAGTAGATAATTGCACATTGGGTGGGCAAATAGAAATGCAAATGGGAAATATGACCATACAGACATAATTAAGAACTGTATCATTAATTATTAAATAAGTGCAAATTAACAATAGATTTACCATGGTAGAAGAGATTAAAGAACAGAGAAACTAGTCTGGCCAGAATTAGAGGAAATGCACCTTTTCATACATGAAAAGTGGGAGCAAAAACTGGTATACTGTTTCTTGAAGGCAATACAATATTACAGAAAATATTAATGGTACATACATTTGGCCTATCAGATTTTATTGTTAACAATTTAGGAAATCATATAAATATGCAAAGATGAATGTATAACAATGTCCATTGCACTACTATTTATAATAATTAAGTAAAAATTAACATTGTACCAAATTCCAGTAGTGAATGACTTCAAATATAGTGTGGGACAGACATAGAGGCAACAAATTGAAGCCATGAAAGGGTGGAAAAGATCAGAATAGACAAGAAACTCTGCTTTCACAAAAATATTAGACTATAAAAAATATGTGTAATATAAATATATTGTGCATGTGTAAATATATTTCAGTAACACTCAATAATAAACAATTTTATATGTATATATAATTGCATATGTACTATGTTTAATAAATCTATTTCCAAAATTTTACAATCTTGATCTTATAATACCTTGTTTTATTTTGCATTTTTCTAAAGTTCAAAGCTTAACTCATGAGACATAAAATTCTGATTAAACACATAATTCATGTATATATGTATAAAAAAATGGAAACTGCTTTCCTTATTTGAGCGCAATTTTCCATAAGAAATTTCCACATCAAATAATTCTGAACCTTATTTATTATCCTGGAAACGTTATTGACATGATTTTTTAAAAATATCTATACATAAAAATAGAGTAATTATTACGTACGCCATGTCCACCGCACAGTAATGTCGAATTACATGGTCGTGATGATATTAAGCTTGAAATGTGTACGCATTTTTGAGACATACAAACCTACAATTTTAGAAACAAGCAACAATGATGAAAAACATTAAGTGTAAAGAGCTGAGCAATTGTTCTTGGTACAAGACAGATGCACAAAACTTGTAGGTACCTATATGTAAAACATAGTAATCTGTTGAATAAAAGTGGTGAAAACAGATATCACTACCTTGTTCCTGACCTTAAGGAAAACAGATTTAGTTTTTGCCTATTGTGCCTAATGTTGTCTGTAAGTTTTTTGTACATGGTCTTTATTACGTTGTGGTATGATCCCTCTATTCCCACTTTACTGAGAGTTTTTATCATAAATAGGAGATGGATTATATCTAATGCTTTTTCTGCATCTATTGATATGATCATGTGATTTTTATCTTTCATTTGGTTTATGTGATGTATCACATTTATTGATTTGTGTATATTGTACCAATCTTGCATCCCAGAATAAATCACACTTGATCATGGTATATTATTTTTTTAACGTATTGCTGCATCTGATTTGCTCAACATTGTACTGGAAGTTCTAGCCATAGTGATCAGACAAAAAGAAGAAATAAAGGCATTCAAATTGAAACGGAAGAAGTAAAATTGGCATTATACGCAGGTGACATGATATTGTATATAGGAAACCCTAAAGAATTCATGAAAAAAACTATTAGATCTAATAAATTCAACAAAGTTGCAGGATACAAAATTAATATATTCAGAAATCAGAGGCATTCCTATACACTAATAATGAACTTTCAGAAAGAAAAACTAAGAAAACAACCCCATTTACTGTTGGTACAAAGAAAAAAAAAATGTATCTAGGAATAAACTTAACCAAGGAGGTAAAAGGATGGTACTTGCAGAACTATATGACATGAAAAAAAAAAAAAATTAAAGAAGATACAAACAAGTGGATGCATATACAATGTTCATGAATTGGAAGACTTAACATCATTAAAATGTCCATACTACCCAAAGTAATCTATAGATTCAATGCAATTCCTATTAAAATACCAATGGCATATTTCACAGAACTACACAAAATATTTCAAACATATATATGGAACCCAAAAAGATCCCAAGTAGCCTCAGCAATCTTGAGAAAGAAAATCAAAGTTGAAGAGATCCCAATACCAATATCAAGCTATACTTGACTTGTAGTCAAGGCCATTGTAATCAAAACAGCCTGGTACTGGTACAAGAACAGGCATATAGAGCAATGAACACAACAGAGAGTCCAGGAATCAACCCATGCCTTTATGATCAAATAACATTTGACAAAGGAGGCAAGAACGTACAATGGAGTAAACACAGTCTCTTCAATCAATGGTGCTGGGAAAATTGGATAGGTATTTTAAAAATAATGAAGCCACACCATCAACATAAACCATACACAAAAATGAATTCAAAATGGATAAAAGACTTAAATGTAAGTCACGAAACCATAAACATCCTAAAAGAAAACATAAGCAGTAAAATCTCAGAAATCTCTTGCAGGAATATTTTTGCCTATATGTCTCCAATGGCAAGAAAAACTCAGGAAAGATAAACAAATGGGAGTACCTCAAGCTAAAAAGTTTCTGAACAGCAAAAGAAACCATCAAAAAAAGATGAAAAAAGAACCAACTGTATGGGAAAACATATTCACCAATGATACATCCAAGAAGAGGTTAATTTTTAAACTACATAGAGAACTTATACAGCTCAACACCAGAAAAACAAACAATCCAATGAAAAAATGGGTGAAGACATGAATAAGCACTTCTACAAAGAGGACATACAGATGGCCAACAGACATATGAAAAATTGCTCAAGGTCACTAATTATCAAAGAGATGCAAATAAAAACTACAATGAGGTATTACCTCACACCTGCCAGAATGGCTACTATCAATAAATCAACAAACAACAACTGCTGGAGAGGATGTGGAGACGAGAGAACCCTTGTGCACTGCTGGTGGAAATGCAGACTGGTGCAGCCACAATAGAAAACAGTATAGAGTTTCCTTCAAAAATGAGAAATGGAACTGCCTTTTGACCCAGCAATCGCATTTCTGGAAATATACCTTAGAATCCCAAAACACCAATCAGAAAGAATATATGCATCCCTATGTTCAGAGCAGTATTACTTACAATAGCTAAAATCTGGATACATTCCAAATCAGTGCATTAAAAAAAGTGTGGCATATTCACACAATGGAATACTATGCAGCTGTAAAAAAGAAGGATCTATTACCCTTTAGAAAGCGTGGATGGACCTGGAGAGTATTATGCTAAGTGAAATAAGCCAGTCAGAGAAAGTCAAATACCATATGATTTCACTAATACATCGAATCTAATAATCAAAATATACTAAGGAACAAAGGGAACCAGAAGCATGAATACCGGAACAAAATGGCTGGTGCCTAATGGCGGTGGGGGTGGAGGTGACTGGATAAAGAAGGGGAAGGAAATAGCTAAAGAATATATATGCATACCCTATGGACATGGACAATAATTTGGTAAAGGCCAAGAAAGGGGGAAGCAGGGGCTGGGTGCTGGAGGTTAGCCAAGTGTGGGGGGTAGGGGACACTTGCAATGATGTCAACAATAAAAAGAAAATTCTATTGAAAAAACATATGAATCTGGATTTTATGGCATCATTCAATAAAATAACTTATTTGATCAAATATGAAATATTGAGAATCAGATACTATTTTTCCCTTGAGGGAGCAGAGCTGTGAGTTTATTAATACTAATTGGCATAAGCACAAAAATAGCCAACTTGTACCAATCACTCGTAATGAGCTAGGAAATGTCTTAGCACTTTCTATGCATTTTTACTTAGTTTTTTCTTTTTTTTTTTAAGTTTCTTTATTTTTATTATTGAAAATATTACAGACATCCTGTTTTTATCCCCACTGAACTGATCCAATCCACTTTGAATCCATTCCACCCCCAGGCTTTCCCCATGTCAATGTCTGTGTCCATGGGTTATGCTTATAAACATATAAGTTCTTTGATTAATGTCTCCCCACCCACTCCCTCCTCCCACCTTTCCTCTGAGATCCCTCAGTCTGTTCCATGCTTCTATGTCTGTGGATCCATTTTGTTCATCAGTTTATTTTGTTTATTATATTTCACATATGAGATCATGTGGTATTTGTCTTTCTCTGACTGGTTTATTTCACTTAGCATAATACTTTCTAGTTCCCTCCGTACTGTACCAAGGATAAAATATCCCTCTTTCTTACAGCCACATAATACTCCATGGTGTAAATGTGCCACAGCTTTTTTATCCACTCATCTACTGATGGGCACTTGGGCTGTTTCCAGATCTAATTGTAAATTGCACTGCTATGAACATAAATTCATTGTGATTGGTTTTTTGGGTTCCTTAGGATATATTCCTTTCTGAATTGGGATCACTGGGTCAAATGGCAGGTCAATTTTTAATCTTTTGAGGAAACTCCATACTGCTTTCCAAAGTGGCTGCAGCAGTCTGCATTCTCACCAGCAGTGTACCAGGGTGCCCTTTTCTCCACACCCTCCCCAGCACTTGTAGTTCCCTGATCTGTTGATGGTAGCCATTCTGACAGGTGTGAAGTGATACCTCATTGTGGTTTTTATTTGCATCTCTCTGAAGATTATCGATGTTGAGCATTTTTTCATATGTTTCTTGGCCATCTGTATGTCCTCTTTAGAGAAGTGTCTATTTAGGTCCTTTGCCCATTTTTTAACTGGATTGTTTGTCTTCCTTGTGTTAAGTTGTGTGAGTTCCTTATATATTTTGGATATTAACCCTTTATCCAATGTGTCATTGGCAAATATGTTCTCCCATACAATGGGCTCCCTTTTCATTTTGTTGATGGTTTCTTTTGCTGTGCAGAAGCTCTTTATTTTGAATATAAACTAGCATATAAGATGAACAAGAGACACAAATAGTGTCCCAGAAACAGTCATACAGTTAAAAAAAAAAAATCCTTATATAACTAAAACCATATTTCCTATAGAAAATGCCTGTTTATGTAAGCATATTTTCTTATAGTCCTGTGTAATTTTATTTATTAATTGATTAGCTTGCATACTTTTAGACATTTACATGCCCCAAACATATTATTTTTCAAATTTGAAATGCATGTGCTGAGGAGTGCTTATATCTTCTAGAATACCCACATGTCTAGGATCAGTTTGATAAACTATTCTCCTGTTCTAAGGCTTATAAATGAAAAATTCAAAGACATTTTCTATCACAATCAATATTAAGGAAACTTGCAATGCTGGAATAATGCTTATCTCCATGTAGCTTATTGTTCACTTAGTATTACAGAATTAAATTTATGAGTGTTTTGACCGTCCGGGCATCACTCAGTGGTTGAGCGTCCACCTAGGATCCAGGCGATCCGGGTTCCGTTCCTGGTCAGGGCACATGCCCGGGTTGCAGGCTAGGCAGCTGATCAATGACTTTCTCATCATTGATGTTTCTATCTCTCTCTCTTCCTCTCCTTTCCTCTCTCTGTAATCAGTAAAGATATATTTTTAAAAAAAGAAAATTTATGAGTTTTATTTAGACTTACTATTACATAATAAGGGAGACATGCTTTTCTTCATGTGGATAAATAAGAAATAACTTTGCTCTCTTTTTGTATTGATCAACCAATTGATCAATCAAGATACATGGATACATCAATTAATAGATCAATAAATTGATAATTTTTACATAGGACCCACACTAAATGAGAGGTAAAGACATCTTAACTTTCTGACCTCTCTGAAATCTTCCTTCCTTCCTTTTTTCTTCCCTTCCTTTCCTTTCCCTTTTCCCTCCATGGGGACATTGCCCATTTGGGCATGGTCTAACGGCCAGACTTTCCCATGCAGAGAATTACTGCTAGAGAAATGAATAATCTGTAAAGCCATCCAGGGCTGGTGTGACAAACCAGAGGGCTTTGAATGCATGGCTCATTTCCCCTAGAACATTAGCTGAATTCCGTTATTATGTAAGATGACAGACAACTAGTTAACTAGCATGGCAATCTTCTGTAGCATTCATATGTCCAGTTCCCATATGGTTTTATTTCCATTATTGTAACTGTTACTCCTGTACATAGATATAATTTCACTCTCACTACTTTTAAGGTCTTTCTTTTAAGGTCTTTAATTTTCAAAATGTTTATTATGCTGTATCCTATCGTGGATTTCACTGGATTGATCCTATCTGATGTTCTTTCAGCTTCTTTCATCTGTGGGTTTATGCCTTTTGCCAAATTTGGAAACTTTCCAGGCATTATCTCTTCAAATACTTTTCCATCCTTAAAGTCTTTCTCCTATTATCTAGGATGGCAATGCCATGCTTATTATACCTTTTCTTATAACTCCACATGTCCCTGAGGATCTGTTTATTTTTTCACCCCATTTTCACTCTATTGTTCAAACTGGATATCTTTTAGAGTTCTATCTTTATCTTCACTGATTATTTCTGTTGTCCCCACTCAGTTCTGAAACCATCATCACTGAGTTTTAATACACAGGGTGGGGCACCAGTATGTTTACAGTTGTGAAGACAGGAAACACAGAGTTTATTTTTTGTGTTTTATTAATCATTGTATTATTTTCCAAACAACTGTAAACCTACTTTTGTCCCACTCTCCACTAGTTGGTTCTTCTTCATATCTTCTATCTCTTTGCTGGAACTTTCTATTGTTTCATTAGTTTCAAGCATGTTTACAACTGCTAATTGAAACATGTTAACGATGGTCACTTTAAATTCTTTGGAGGGTATTTCTAACATCAATGTCAACTTAGCGTTAGTTGATTTTCTTCTGCTCTTTCAAATTGAGATTTTGCTGGTTCTTGGAATTATGAGTGACTTTTGATTAAAACCTCGATATTTTGAATATTTTGTTATGAGACTTTAAATCCTGCTTAAACCTTCTCTTTTAGCAGTTCTCCTCAGGGCTCTGGAGGTGGGGAAAGGGACACTGCCTCATTATTCTCAGGTAACTTTAGAAGTATAGGTTCCACTAACACCTGAGATGAAAGGGTTCCTAATTACTGCAAGAGTCAGGAGAGTACAGGCTCTCCACTAGTCTTTTGCTCATACTCTCCTGGTAAGAGTGGAGGTGTGGTTTCTCTTTGTGATTTAGCAGAAATAGAACAGTTACCATTTAAAAGCGTACTGCTTTGCTAGGCCATTCCTTTGGCTAAAGAAGTCAGGCTTACCTTGATGACTATGTTTGGTCTATGCCATTTAGCATTTCTGAATTGCTGGCTTCTCTAGTATTCAGTTTGGGTTATATGAAGAAGAAAAGGGAACTCATTACTATGTTGTTCCTTGGGTTCTGAGGTCCCTAGCTGGTCTGGCTTTTTCATTCAAGCTTTCAAAATATTCTTAGGTTTATATAACATCCAGGGTTTTTAGCTATACATAGTGGAAGGAATGGGAAAAAGCATATCTAGCCTGTCCTGCTGTAACCTCAAATCTCTATTTAGTAGTTTTTTAATCATAATGTAATACACTTATATTCTTCTTTATATAGATTTTATTTATATCATTTAAGAAATCTTTAATTGTACCAGGAACAATGCCTATTTTTTCTCTGAGGACTTTATCAAAACATTTTGATCTCTAATTCCTCCAAAATAACAATTTCCATTTTAGTCTATAGGCCAGTTTATCTATCCCTGTATCAATACTCCATTGTTTTAATTACTTTAACTTTACAATAATTCTTAATATTTAGTACAAATGTCCCGTTTCCATTTTTTCTTTAAAATTACATTGGCTATTTTGGTATTTTAGCCTTTTGCATTTCCATATAAACCTTTAAATCTGTCCTTCAGTTTCCCCCAACAACACATTTCCCCTCCACAAAAACACCTGCTGGGGTTTTGATTCTTGATAGCATCATATTCCTCAATTGATTTTTTGAGAACATAGACACATAAGTCTTCTAATTAATGAATACGGTTTATCCCTCCATTTATGTAGATCTTCTTTGCTTCTCTAGTAATGTTTTATAGTTGTCAATGTAGAGGTTGCTTGCTTATCTTTCCTGAGATCATCATAGGTTTTAGATGCTTTTCCATGCTATCAAAACCACAATATTTTGATGCTAAGGCTTCATCTAAAAACTTTATTTGTTACTTGTTATAAAGCTATAATAACTAAGACATAAAGTCACAGGGTTGCTACAATCTTGACTTGGGGGTGTCTCACAAGACAACTTAAGCCAAAGACATGACCTCTGCTTTAGCAGAAATTACCCATAGAATTTCCATGTGCAATCCAAACAGCAGAAATGCACATTTTCAAGGTTTTGCCATGGTTTCTCACTCACCGTAATTTTGCTAATATACTTCTATGTTATTAAAAAGTACTTCTACAAGTTATTTTAGAAAGAAATACAGTATTGGACATATTGTAATTTATCTGACCAGCCTATAATTGTCATTTAACATGTCTTGATTATTTCTCTCTAACTCACATCATAACTGCTTTATGCCAATGTATTTTTCTAATATCTAAAAATTAATTTGACATTATTCCATTAGAAATGGATTTTTAAAGTATGATATTGGACTCCTTACACATTTCTAAGTCACTTTCCAGAAAGTATCTGCTAATTTATACTTGCTTTAGGATGGTAATAAGTTATTCTTCTCACCATCAAATATTATTTTCGATGCCCAAATCATAACACATAAACAATAGCTTACACCTATAAAACACCTATATAAGTTTTATATATGTCTAATCACTATGCTGTACACCTGAAACTAATAAACTATTGAAAGTCAACTGTTATTAAAATATAAAATTTTAAAACAATAGCTCAATATTCAATGACGTATTTATTTAATCACAAGTTAGGTGAAACAGTTTCATGTTCCTTCGTCATATATGTTTAATTTCATGAGATTTTTTTGCACTGATGTATAATGAGAGATAGGTATGTATATGAGTGTATATAAAGGGAAGACATATTACTTTATGATGTTGTGGATACAAAAGGGGCCATATACTAAACCTGACAAGCTCAGGGGAGGCCTGCATGGTGGATCTTACAAACTCAGAGGCCAAAAGCAACCACACAGGATGGTCTGAAACTAAAACTTTCTAACTAAAAGCAAGTCATGGTGGGTACTCATGACCTACGCTATCTTCCTTGACAAAGTCAGTCTTTTACTGAGCCTGTAGATTGTCTTTTTGCATCTAAAATAACATACCTATGGAATGTCAGAGTAATCTCCTCTTCCAGACCCCTCAGGGCACAGCCACTGCACCAGAGCAGTAGACCACAGAACCCCTCATTACCTTATTCCCACACACCATCTCTATGTGCTGTAAATGTTCATTATTGACTATCCTGTACCCACCATTGTATAAGAAGTATGTGTCTATTTGTTTTACTTTTTATTGAGATTTTGCTTCCTGGCAATTGTTGTGAGTTTGGTTCAAATAAACTCTTGTAAGATTTTTCTTAGATTGGACATTCTTTTGTGGAAAATGTAGTCAGTACCAGTATGTTCCTTTGTGATTACTTTATTATTTTTGCGTAAAAATGTCTTTTCCCATTCTGAAATGTTTACTCAATTCCCCTTTCTTCTTATTTTTCATTCCTTAAAATACTGTTTTCAATATAAATTATGTTAATTAAAATGTAAGATAAGTATACACGTTTAATTTTAATAATCTTTCGTCAACTATTTTTAGTGGTAATACTTTCAAAATCACTTATCTATTATGTTTCTAATATTTTTTAAGAAAAAGAAATGAAATAAAGCTTAGATGCTGTTTTATTATTGTGTCTTGTGGGAGGGCCAAATTTTTAACAAGTATACTATGCTTTTGGAGAAAGAATTAGGGGAGTAGGCTAATAAGCAAATAAATGTTTTACTTTCCTTATAAACAAGTCTCATCAATTACAGTAACACTAAATACTTGTTTGTTTTTGTTACTGCTGTTCTTATTATTCAGATTGCTCTATTCCACTTTTTTAGTGTATTATTTGATCCTTTTTTAGTTGTTTGTTTACACAAACTATTGCAGACCAAATCCTAGCCTAATGAAGAGGCTTCAACTTTCAAGTGTGAGAAAACCAGTTTGAATATCTACAGCAAAATTCATAAAAAATGATAGGAAAGCAAGTGTTCCTTTGATCAACAGAAAGTCTAATATTTGAATATTAAGATACAGGAGCCAGTTAGTAAAATTGTAAATAAAAAATCTTAACCCCTCTCTCTGTCTCTTTCTCTCATGTGCGCGGGCACACACACAAACACACACACCATATATAGAATCAAGTAAAATTTATATTTACCTTATTTTGATCACATATAGTACCATCCTCTACAAAGCTTTGATCTGGACCTGGAGTATTGCTTCTTTTAGATGCTGACATACATATTTGGCCGCCAAGGTAAGTGTACTGAATATCATAACTTGTGGTTGATGCTATCTTTGTATGTGTCCAGTGACAAACTATCTTTGCACAAAGGGTATCTCTGGAAATATAAAGCAGAGAAAATTTCCCATATGTCACTCTGGGGCACAATGTATTAGGTAAATAACAATTCAAAATATGAAGATAATTCAAAATGTTACTCAGATCATAACAACAAAGCTATTCAGAGCAGACGCCATCTTATGAAGTACAACATATAAATTCATCTGTATGTACTATATTCATCTCTCATTTGAATTAAGTGAATCATTGTAGAAAACACATACACACAAAAATACTCCCACACACAAACACACATGCATTTGGAAAATGAAGTTTTTAAAATACACACGTTATAACACAGCGGTTGGGAAAACAGTTTCCAAAGTCATCTCCTAGATAATTGATTTCTTCTGCACATAAATAACTAGAACCTTTAGAAACTAAAAACATAAAATTACAATTAGTCATTTTAAAAACATAAAACTAAAAATGTGATACATTAATATAGAAACATCTAGACAGCAGCAATGTCTAGTCAGTGCCATCTACTACAAATTTTTGATGTTACTTAGTGGCTCTTCAAGAATGAGAAACACTCCCTAAAAACTACCCACTTGAGAAAATTTGGTATCATCTTGCAGAAATGACAACACAGTCATTTGCTCTCTTATCTACAATTCTAATAATCTGCTTCCTTTGACCAGTCACCTGAAATTTTACTAATGTCCTATTGTCTTTATCCTATACTTATGAAGCCAACTTTGCTTCTTGACATAATTCACATACTTTGATTTGCAATTTTACTTTCAAATTTGGATTTAAATAAACAATGCCTTTTCTTGTGGCTTATAGGGTGACTTTATAAAAACACAGTTTAAAAATGAACCCCAGCCCAGCCAGTGTGGTTCAGTGGTTGAGCGTCGACCCAGGAACCAAGAGGTCACTTGTTTGATTCCTAGTCAGGGCACATGCCCAAGTTGAGGGCTTGAACCCTGGGGTGGGGGTGGGGGTAGGGGTGAGGGCAGGGCAGGGCATGCAAGAGCTTGCCATCAATGACGTTTCTCTATAATCCATGTTTCTCTCTATATCCCTCTTCTTTCCCATCTCTCTAATAATCAATAAAAACATATGTTTAAAAAAATGAACCCCAGAAAAAAACCCACAACTATTACATTTTCCAAATAACTCCATACACTGTCTACTCGGATCTCGGCATATTCCCTTATAGCAAAAGGCGGTTTTATTACTACATAGTTCATAATCAAGAGATTTCATATCATCTACACAAAACTCAGATGTTCCAGTGCAATATTCTGTAAAATCACATGGATCTTGGCTTATCCGACATATATGTCCTCTTGGGAATAACTGTGAGAAAAAGAAAAACAAATAGTGTGTTTTTTGGTAATACATTTTATCCAAAGATCTTAAAGTGCTTCACACATT